TCAAATCAGAGTTTTCTCCAAGACCCGGAAACATAAAATAGGAAGTTTGTGTACGATCATGTATTTGTCTTCCCACGATCCTCTGAAGCACCTGAAATGACAAACTAAAATTATAAGTCAAAGCTTAGTGAGTTCCCCCAGAGTACCAGCATACCACATAACAAACTAGCACACAATATGAGCAGCCAGCCTGACTGGACCTCCTCGCAGGGCCTACAACTTATCTGAACCGCTTTACGAGCCTTCGGCATGACTGGACCGCCTCGTAGGGCCTACAGCCTATCTAGACGGCTCCACGGACCATCAGCCTAACTGGACCGTCTCTCAGGGCCTAAAGCCTATCCGGTCGTCCATGGGTGTCTTGGCCTACATCATAAAACAGGAGCGCCTCAACCCAACACAACATGTTGACATATGCAACAAATACACATAAACACAAAGCCAGCAAATACATAAAATCATACGGTTCTACTGAACAGCTACAAACTATCATATCACTATCCTCACCAGAATAAATAATCTAATGGGCTGGCATTGGTGCCTTTAGCCCACATGTATAATAAGGAAAACTCACTTCTTAGTCTGAACACGAGTTGAATAAATCTCGGTCCCGAACATCGGCTCAACATTGAACTCAAGATGCACTTTTCTTATATAGGGTTAGCTAGAGGAACGTTTTCTCAAGTGGAGGCTGACAAAGGAATGAGAAATGAGGTGATAATGATGCTTATATATGGACCAAACCCTAAAAAAATTGTCACACCCCCGAACGGGGACGGCGGAAACTTCCGGGAGCGGGTGACTTCATCTAGTAATCTTCCTATTCTAATAAACGATTAGTTCTTTTGTCATGTGTCATTATATTAGACCTCTCAATTAATGTGTTGCCACTTGTCAATCTATTACTTCTCCATTTTAAATTTATTAGACATCCTCATTAATGTGATGTTATTTTCAATGTATTTATTCTCTATTTTAAATTAAATTTTAAATTTTATATTATTGTTTTCATTAATTTACAAAAAAAAGTAATATATGTTAAAAACTACTTTTATATATTTATTTGAATCAACAATTATAATTTCACATAACTAATAAAAATATCTTTTAGTAATTTATTTAAAATAATTGATTAATAATTTTGATTTTTTTATTATAAAAGTTTAATTACTTATATAACTGTGGTTCCCACGTGTTATAAACTAGTATCATAATAATTGAATATAAATTATACATAGCAACCAACATCACACATTAAAGATACCAACATACATTGTTTACAAATTGTATTTGTTCGTGAAATTACATCCAAAAATAACAAAATGTATGATATTTCAAAATACAATAATTATCCAAAATCCGTAGTTGAATACTACAAGTCATTTGAAAAGCGTCAACATAGAATGTTTGTGAGTTCATAAGCATATTTATAAGAAAAACTTTGTAATAGTTTGTAAAACTCCAGAAAATCCAATATTTTCTATAAAAATAGTTTGAGAGTCTCGTTTCCAAATCATGTATAATTGCATGCATGTTCTTTTGTTTCTTTGTTTGAAATTATATAGAGTGTTCCCAGAAAATCCTATATTTTTTGTTATACGAAAAGTTGTGGTCTTAAAACCCTAAGACCAGAGTGGTTAAATTATTTACAAAATAGACGACACATAGTTTTATACTTTATAAATTGAGTAGAGTGTATATTCCCCGTAAATTTTAAAATGATATTGTTATTCTCTACGTGGGTCGTTACAACCATACTAATGTGACTAAAGCGTCTGTCTTGACGTTCTTCAAGTGTCGGTTTCTAATAAAATATTTATCACCCTAGATTGATCTGTCTAGCCGTAGCGAACAGCTCAGGTGTGGGGGTCTCAACCCCGTATAGATCTATACACAATATCTCGCTCTCCCTCCAAGGACTCTGGTTATAACTACATGAGTTACGGTGTACACTAAGTAGGTACAGTGAAGGAGTGTCTCACAAGAGCCTTAACAGCATTTACGTAAATTTTGAATCCCGTTATTAAATATTATAAATAACATTCCTGGTGTATATTTACGACTGCAGTTTTATAACACGCTATAATTCATGATGTAAATTTACATAGTTTACTAGGAATGTTTAAAAGCCTTAATAACAGATTAACAGACAGTATATGACATGCAACTTTTATGTCATAAAAGTCTAATTAGTTCACCATTTTGCTAGGTTTATTTATTGTGACATCCCCAATTTCACGGCCAGAAAAGACCGATTTTGTTTATGCTTGTTTGAAAATCAGAGTAATATTTACATAAAAGTGTTGCGAAATTTGTTCCCAAAATAAAAATATGTAAAGATTTATCAAAGTATTTTCGTAGAAATGTATTTCATTAAAAAGACTCGGGATGTCATGTTTGATACAGATCAAAAGCATAAACAGTACATGATAAGCCTTACAACAGTTATTTACAACTACTGGCCTATAATTCAAAAATCTCTCATCATCATCCAAATTATGCTCTGGGTCCACTACCTGTAAAACAGAAAGCTGAGTGGGTCAGGCTTGGGAGTCTGGTGAGCATATAGGGTTTTCAACCCACAAATAATAATAAATTTATTAATTTCATCGATCAACAATAAATTTATTAATTTTATCAAACCAACAATAACCCTGATTACCCATTCCCGTTATCCTCACGTTACATTCCTAAACACCTATACAAAGGACCTAGTTTAAGGATTTTATCATCGTGATGGACTTTACTGCTAAGGGGATTCCTCAGCCATATATGTCCGTAAGGCAACCATGAGGGGGATGGAGTACACCGGTGAACATCAAGCCCACAAACACCTACAGGTTGCGAGCCTGCTAGCGTTCCACTAGACTATCTAGAAGAGTCCATGGTCGTCATCCATACTCCGCTAGATGACTGGAACAACAACAACATCGAGGCCTCTCATTATTTTAACACACATCAACTATTTCGTCTACCCATGTTTTACCCAACATATTTGTAGATAAAATACATATACAATTTATAACTTGTATAAAACATTTTATTCAACAATCATCTCAAATAAGCAATCAATATAATTACGCGTACCACGTATTTTATAGAAAAATACTTCATATCTATGTGTAAGATGAAAGCGACTATACACTCACTTGATTTGATGATAATCGGGCAACAATTTGTTCCTTAAAATGATCGTCTATGATAAAACCAAGAGTTTTATTGAGAAACCGGGCTCTGCGAGGGTTGGAGCTACAAAACCGAAAAGATAAAATTTTCCGGGTCTTCGGGCACTTCGGGATGTATTTCGGGCTTTAAAAATGATATCGGGGCTTCGGGGGAGGTCAAAATAGTCAACATATAAGTTTAGGGATGAAAAATGTCAATTTTCCAAAAGTAACAGGGAGATCTCGCATCCCCCTATTTATAGGGTGCGAGACCGAGGGCTGATCGGCTGAGAAGGCTCCATGTAGCAAGCTGCGAGGCTCGGACACGAAGGGGAGACGTGGCTGCGAGGGGGCGAAGTGTGTGGCAGCAGCGAGGGCGAGACACGGAGTCCAGCCATGTGAGACCGAGATAGGTGGCGAACACGCGTCGGATCCGGACATGGCCATGACTCGGTGACGCAGCAGCTTCGGGCACGAGGCGGTTTCGCGAGAAGGGTGACGTGGCCGACTCCTATTCATGCGAATTTTTCGAAAATTGCACCCAAAAATTCTAAAATTCATAACTTTCGCATACGAACTCCGTTTTTGACATTCTTTATATGCACGCGTAGGCGGGAATATATTCTACAACTTTTGTTTAGACTTCGTCGGCTAATTTTGAATTTAATTTTAATATTATTATTTTTAACAGACCGGGACAGAAAAATCCGTTAAAAATTCATAACTTCTTCATCCGACGTCCGTTTCCTTCAGTCTTTTTACCGTTGTACTACTATTGACGAGACCTTCGATTATTGTTTAGGTTGTGTCGGCTAAATATCGCTCCATCTTAAATTTGAGTATTTAGTTGTCTACTGGTAAGCTAAAACTTAGAAAAATCATAACTTCCTCATACGAAGTCAGATTTGGATGTTCTTTTTATCAAAATTCTCGACTTAACGAATAGTATGAATTTTGTTTAGATTTTTAAGGCTAAAAAAACACTTTATCATAAATTCACTTTTTACGCTTCCCGGTGTCGTGCCGGTTCCGTCGCGAGACTTCGACAAGTCATAACTTCTTCGTTATAACTCGGATTTCGGCGTTCGTTATATCTCCGGAATCCTTGTTTCGGCCACTACAACTTTCCTAAAAGATATCGGTTTTTTCTAATATTTATTTTCAATGCTTATTTTCATTATTAATTAATTAAATCATAATAATTAAGCAAATAAGCATATAATTCACATGATATTCACATAATTTCTCTTTATTACTTCAAAATGAGTTACAAAGGTTGACCTAGATTATTACAACATTATTAATGCTTTTAGCCTAGAAACACGGGTGTTACATTTATAAACTCTTTTTTTTAATATTTAATTTTAAACTAATATATTTATAACATTTTGTGTAAAAACAACATATTACCATAGGTTATACACCATAATAATAGTAATTTTTACATATCTCGATTTTCCACGATGCACATAAATCTCAAAATTCTATTATATTTTATGTATTTATACAAATTTTGTGGAATAGTGAGTTTGTCTCATTTTACTACATTTGTCATAAATAACTCATTTTTACTACAATTATCAAAAATAACCTATTTTACCATAATTATGATAAATAACCCATTTTTTACAAGTGATTGTGGTGTGTGTGTGTGTGTATATATATATATATATATATATTCAAAAATTTACCATTTTGAGTGTAAATTTTCACATTTTACCATTTTTTAAAACTTTATAACCAGAATGATTTAACATTTTCTTTGGCAATATCTGTGATTTTTGACAAACATTACAAGAAAATCATTTTCACTTAGCAGCTTATTTCATCTTTAGCATGTCACCAAAATATGTGAGATTATATCAAGGTACGCTTTGTCCTAACAACTTGAGACTTAACAAAGTCTCGAGTTTGAGGGTATTAGCATGAAACAATCACATTTCAACACACAATATACATACATACACACAAATACATACAATTATCCAAAGATTTTACACAAGACTAAACTCGTATTCTCCCCAAAAAGAAAGAAAACTCGAAAATAAGGGGTATGAAGCTCACCATGGGAATTTTTTGAAATGTAGAGGAATATGGAGAAAGGTTTTCAGCCCTAACTTGCTCTCTTGAGGGGGTTTTATTGAAAGGTTTTGCTGAAGTGTTAGTTGAAATTTCTAAAACAAAGAAGGATGGAGAAGGTGAAGGTGTTGAAGTTGATTCGAATTTAGGGAAAGCAATAGAAGGTTGCTCAAATAAAAATAAAGATGAAGGTAATTAATTTATAATTATTGTTTATTCATATATGATTGTGTTTATAATTGTTGTTTATTCATATATGATTTTTATAATTTTATTGGTTAGAAACTGTTGAAGAAGGTTTAGAAATTATACAATGGAAGGATTCAAATGAGACTCAATCATTGAAAAAGGACAAAGTGGAAGGGAAAGTTGAGAAATTTTTTATTCCAAGTTTTAGTCTTGGATGTAGTCAAGGTTCTCAAGTTTCCAAGAATTCATCTCACAATCAAAGTTCTTCTGGACGTATGACAAAGAAAAAGATTAAGGATAGAGTTTATTTGGGAAAACCAAGTGTTGGTTCAGAGTCTTTTGTTCCAAATGTTGATGTTATTGATGCTAGTCTAGTTTCTTTTGCACCCCCACCCCCTATTTGGGTACATTAGAAGGACCATCAAAGCCAATTTCTGACCAAGCTACAGTAATAAATGAAAAAATTCCATTAAAAGCAAATTCTTGGAAACCTAAAGAAATAAATGAAGAAGGAACATCAGTAGTAGATGTCAAAGGAAAGAGAGAAATGCAGTTTTCTTATGTTTATAAGTCACCTTTTAGGTAAAGGTTAATTGATTTTAAACCAAGTTTGACACAAATAGAAAATGTTGTTTGTCAATGGCTTTTTAGTCTTCAAGGAAATCCAGGGTAATTTTTTTTAAATATAATTCTTTATTTTTATAGTTATAATTTTTTATTTTTAATGACATTTAAATAAATATCTATATGGATATGGTCTTGCTTATGGAATCATATCTTATAGATTTTAGAGCTAATTATGAAAGTCTTTATAAAACAACCTATTTGCATGTAAGTGTTCATGATTCATGGTCTCGTATACTAAATCATGAAGAGAAATTCAAAGATGTTGTTAATTCTCCACTCAAATTGTTCATGAATGTTGATACTATTTTATGTTTTTCTTTTCATATTTTGATAATCATTAATAATTTTTATTAAATATTTCCATTTTATTATATAATCATTTCTGATTTTTTTTATATTACAGACTTTGTCATTTGAATATAATGATTTGAAGGAAACTGTAAAATATAAAGTTTTCAAGGACAACTTGTCTCTCAGTGTTTCTGGTGATAGAGACTTGAAGGTTTTGAATGATGTTGATATGGTATGTTTTCTTTCTAATATTATACATTTTGATGTTAGGTATTCTCCTTGTTTCGAGGAAAAACCACATATATCTTATTTTTATCAATCTGAAGAAACCTGCTTTTGAGGTTATTGATTATGGTGCAGATGATGTTGATTTCAATGATAAGTATGGTGTGATTTTAAACCTCTTGTAAGTTTCAAATCATATTTAATCTTTAGATTTGAAATCATATATGATATGTTTTATAACTATTATACTTATATTTTTCTGAGTTCAAATCATATATGATTTTCAGAAAAAGATTTTTTTGAAGTATCTAAAAGAGATCAATCATGCTAAAGCAAATGAAATGGCTGATAAAAATCTTACACCAATAAGATTGATAATGTCATGGAGGACAGTTTATAACAAAGTGGATCGTGGTTTTTTGCTATGAGACATATGGAGAGTTATTTTGGAGAAAAAATTTCTAAATGGAAATGTGGTCTTCCAAAAGAAGGTCCTTCTCAAGAATTTTTTTTGGAGATGTTGAGAATGAAATATGCATCAACAATTTTAACTTCTAAGATTAATACAAAGTGTGACGATGTGTTGAAAGCTACATATGAGTATCAAAAAGTTGATCCAAAGATTCGTGGTATGCATGCATATAATGCTCAATGGAATATAGAAACAAGGTTGTCAAGTTTTTTTTTATTTAATATTTTCTTATTTTAGAAGTAAATAGATGATGTTTTAAGAAGAAGTTTGTTTATGTTGTCTTTATGTTATAGATATTCTGAAGAATGTTTGTTTTTATGTAGTTGATGGATTTTATTATGTAAGTTTGTTTTTATAAATTATGTTATTGAATGTTAATCATAAGTGATTGTGTTATATTTTTATATGTTGTTTATATGTAATCATTAGTGATTGTATCATTTATTTTTTTTTCATTGTTTTTGTAATCATAAATGATTACATATGTTGTACAACACATTATAATTTATTATATTTTTTTCTTGATAAGTGAGCTTATTGTTAGTGCATTGAGTACATCACCATGCAGAATCTTATCTTTCTAAGATTTTAGTTTTGTTTTATAGTGTTTGCAGTGAATAATAGTTTCTTTATAAATCAAAACAAATCAGGTTTTTCATTGAGTTTTGAATATGTATTTATCAAGGAGGGAGCCTCTTGCTACCCCTTATATTTGGTTAAAGATGAGTGCTTATACTTCTCCAATGGTTAGTTTTTTATATTAATTTCTTCAATTTTTAATTTAATTTTTTTTTACATATCACAATTACTTAGTTATGATGTAAACAACTTCCATTTAATTTCAGGTAAATTATGGGCTCTATAAGTCAAAAATAACTAATTTTGTTGTATCTAATAACATGTTCCCCATTTTCAAGATTATTGTTGTTTTATTTGTAGGTAGATTTTCATACTGATTGTATCTGACTCGGAGAACGCCACTTCCACCATTACTTAAAAAGTTTATCTTCATTGAATATATCAGATCTTTATGAAGTAGAGGAATGTTGTTCATTTAAAGAATATTTTTTTTAATGAACAATATTTCTCTACATCAGATATGTAGTAAAGATTTGTTATGTTCAATGAAGATAATCTTTCTAAGTAATGGTGGAAGTGTTATTGGAGTTAGCTACAATCTGTATAAAAATCTAACTAGGAATATGAAGAACAAGAATCTTGGAAAATGGGGAACATGATATTTAAGACTTGTGAAATTATTTGTTATTGAAGATTTTATCATGTTTGATGTTATTCTATGATGATGATTAGAAGTTGATTTTCTAGATGAATATTTTTATGTTTTTATTTTTTATGAACAATGTTGTATATTTGTTAGGAACAATGTTGTTGTATATGGTTATATGTAATGATATTTGTAGTGGAAATTAGATTTTATTTATATGTAATCATAAATGATTACATGTTTTGAATAACAGTTTATATGTAATCATAAATGATTACATGTATTGAATAACAGTTAACAAATTACATAATTTTTTTTATTTGTATAATCATAAATAATTATGTAATACCACTTTATATGTTTTGTTTAATCATAAGTGATTATATACTTTTATAATCATAAAAGGCATAAAGTTAGATAGAAGAAGGTTTAAGATAGAAAATTGTCAAGAAAACTTATTTGTTGGACTATTAATAAAATCAAAGAAAAAATTATCAAAGTAGATGGAATCCAGTAAACAAAATCATAGTAAATTCTATTTTGTAAAAAGAGTAAAGTGTACCAAACAAAAAATATATTATTTAGAGAAAAAAATCCTGACTTATTCATTACCAATTAAACTAGTAATTATCTATGTAGTTTTTGATGATTGTTTTGTTGCAAGTTTGATTAGCCATGCATGCAAGTTATGAGCAGCCATTTCCCCACATCCTGAGCATCTTCTTGTTTGTTTGTTTAATTTTTATATGTTATTTCTGCTGCACTTCGAATTCTATTTTTCTTTCCACTTCCTTTTTTTGTTTTGAACATTTGAAACATTAATGTCAATGTCTTTTAGAATAGAAATGTCCATAAGGTTTCCTACCTCTTTAACATTTGTCCTGTTTTTCTGGAATTCATTTGTAGGATCGTTTTCATATTCCTTCAATATGCATTCTGTTTTCTTAACAAACAAATCCATTTTGTCTTTATTTTTTCTTATGTATTCCAAACATGCTCCAAAGTTATAGTATGCTTGATCGACATGTCTGTTAATTTCATTGTCTCCTATATCATATACATATATATATATATATATAAACACACACCAAAGTGATAATATCTTGATATCACATCCTTTCTCCAACAATTCTCAATATACTATTCAGGTATTTCCTTAATTCAATGTTTAATGAGTATGTTGAATGCATGTCTGCACAAAGTCTCAAAGTCGTTGAAGTGTTCACAAGTATATTTTACATCATTTGATGGAAGTTTTATTTCTGCATGTTCAAAATAAAATTAAAGCATTAAGTTTTTATAATCATAACTGGATATTGTTTCATATCATGTTTTGATTCATCAAAATTTAAAATAAGAATATATTACCTCAAATTCTGTTTTTAGATCGTTGTTTTTGTCCAGTTGTTCCACTTTGTATAACTCTCATCCGTTTTTTGTTCCAACATGTTTGTAATGGCAGTACCAAGAACCTTTGTAGATTTCTTTATGTACTTCTTAAAACAATGTACTTGTATAAACATTTGCAACATGTTTTTCTATCAGTCACGGTGACATAAATTTATATATTGCCTTCTTTGTTTGACGATCAACCTCCTTTTGTGTATTTATTTGTTTTTGAATTGTGCCATAGTTCATCATGAAAAGTAAACGTAAATTTACAGATTACGAGTAAGTATTGAAGAAGGAATTCATGCTTTCTGATCTTGAAGTGGTTTTCCTCAATCTAGACATTCTAGTGTCATTGAAGTATGCATGTATCCATTTGTCACGTAATTCGAACATATCATTGAACCATCTTTTATCTTCCAGATTAAATTCATTAATAATCAACTCCCACTTCTTCGCAAATTCATCAGGTTTGATATGCATGTTCCAAACAACCTTGTTAAATCTCTTATTGAAGGCTTTGTTTTTAAATAAATCGCCAGTAACCTTTTAATGAGCAATTTTACTTATATAAGTATAAATTATATACTTATTTGGATATATCCTGTAGGAGTAATCATATATGATTATGTACTCTAATCTATGATTAATCATATATGATTAATTATATGTGTTTATATAATATGATATATGATAATTCATATTATTAGAATACTTAATCATATATGATTAATCATATATGATTATATAGTATGATATCGGATAATAAGTATATAATCATATATGATTATATAGTATGATATTTGATAATTCATATTATTAGAATAGTTAATCATATATGATTATACAATATGATATTTGATAGTTCATATTATTAGAATACTTAATCATAAGTGATTAGATAGTTTTATTTTTGTTATACCTTTGCTTGTAATTTTTTCATTACGTGTCATATGCATAATCTGTGTCTTGAAATTGGTAAGACAGATTCCACTGCTTGTTTTATTGATGGATCTTGATCAGTTAGAATAATATTTGGTGCTTTCCCTTCATGAGCTCTAACAAAAGCTTTAAGTAGCCATTCATACGACTCAATTGTCTCTATACTCAACAACCTAACACCAACAGTAATAGATTTCTTGTGGTGGTCAACTGTTGTGAATGGAACAAATACCATTTTATACCTATATAAAGAAAATGCGTTTAGTACAATCATATTTAATTAATAGTATGTTTAAATTTAATTGTATAATTTTTTTTATTTTAACTTACTTGTTTGTTCTAAAAGTTGCATCAAAAGATATAACTTCTCCAAACTTTGCATAAAAAGCATTTTCTCTTTCATCTGCCCAAAACATAGCAACCAACAGATCTCCATCACGTAGGAACTCAAATGGATAATCTAGGAAATGATCTCTACGATCATTCATTTTGTTTATCATTATTTGAGCATCCTTGTAACATAAGATTTTATTTACTCATCTTCTCAAGTTTTTGTACTCTGTTACCTTCACCCTTACATATTCATATCCTCCTAAAACTGCTCGTATTTTGTGAGCCATTGTTAGACCAAATTTATCTTTTGATGCACATACTACAAACTTTTTTTTTTTCAGAATATGACATCTTTCTTGCATTTTTCATATAAGGTCTTTCCTCAATACTTTCCAGTGGGTGGTTGTGCAATTCAAAGAATTGCTTAACTTTGTAATCTATTGTTCCATAAACATTTTCAAATATAATCTTTGTTGTACACCCAATAATTATCTTGTTCGAATTTGGTTTCCTCTTGACAGAACTTGTAGCCAACGTATCACAAGGTTTTGGTTTAACCTTGCCACCCCTATTGCATATAACATATTTGTTTTTTATTATTTGGCTATTATATTTTGGTTGGCTACTAAGTCTTGTATGAGAACCTGCCATTCATCCATAATAAGTATACATTTTTAGTGCCAAATTTAGCGATTTGGAAATGTTGTTTACAACTAGTACCAATTCTGGAGGGACATCTGGTTCATATTTAGATTCTTCAATTATATTATTGCAATATGATTCATTTGTTGAACCGGAACTTTCACCTGATAAAAAAAGGGAAT